GCATTGGTTAAGATCCCCGCACCTAAAACGCGAGTGTGGCGCATCTCTAAACGCGCGAGAACTTACGAGAGAAAAGAAAGTTGATATGGGTGAGAATCTGTTACCCAAGCACTGTCCAAATCGATAGACTTTCACAAGTGAAATACACGTATGCAGATTTGGGCGAGGGCTAAAAGTAGCATCTTTAAAAAGTTAGGTAAGCATTGGTTCGGATCCCCGCACCTAAAACGCGAGTGCGGTGCATCTCTAAACGCGCGAGAACTTACCGGAGAAAAGAAAGTTGATATGGGCGACAATCTCTCACCCCCTGATTTTCCCGAAAATGCCTTGTTAACGCATTTTCTTGTGATCTCATCCAGGTGTGCCAAGGACTTCTGTGGTGGATTGTAGGTCTAAATTTGAATGTGTGTAATCCTAAAACAGTGCAAAGTACATTTGTTCATGCTCGGCAAAGATGACGGATATCTTAATGGTAAATTTATTTCTGATCCGTACATAATTCATTAGTCTGTAGTGCGGAAATATCGTAAAAATGTCCCTTCTGGCCCCGTAAGCGGTTATATTTTCTAACGTGAGCCGAGAAAGAAGTCCTATGGGGATGGCTAGGTCACGCAAGTTTAGACAATTTATGTATCAACGTGATGATGGCTCTTAGCCGTAGAAGAGTGGGTAAAATTGGAGAAGATTAAAACGGCCTACATTCGGACGTTTGGTGTCTTTGCTTGAAAGAAATTAAAGCCTTTTTAAGCGAGTTTTTGTTTTTGTTTTTTAATTTTTTAATTTCTGTGCGGTTGTCGCTAGCTATTCAGAGTTATGAGTGGACACTTAATTAGGCAGATCAATGCAAAAGTCAATTATGTCAAGCGTACTTGGGCGTCTTTTAGAAGATCTTAAGTCATTACACAATGACCGAGCTAGCAATTGCTATTGCAAATGTAAATTCATGAATATTAAAACAAATTTGAAAAAAGTCATTTTTTTTTCGATATTGTTTTGAAATGATGCGCCCACGACTTAGCTTCAAGCAGGTGAATATATGAAATATCACATTATGATATTTCGAGTAGAGTAAATTTATGTCAATTTTAGCGATACTAGCAAACTCGCACCTTCTCTAAGGGCGGTCACTGAATAGGTACTTATTAATACATTTCTAGGAGGAGCTCGAACCCTGGAAGAAGCCATTTCAATTCAACAGGAAATATGCTTCACCAGATAAAACACTGTCTGCTATTTCCTTGGAAACTTCTTTTGCTCAGCAGAAGACGGCAGATTCTTTTTGTCACCGTAACAGTCGCTGCTTTAATAACAACATTATTGGCTGGCTTTGACATCAAGTCCCTGCAAGGTCAAGGTACACGCTTTCCCCTTACTATGGCTCCTACTGACGACTTGGCTTCCAACAGTTTTGACCTCTTTCCTACTTACGAAAAGGGTGCACGCGCGCTCCAGACAGTGGTTCCCCCTCGGCAAAGAGACCTCACTTCCAGCAGTTCCGACCACCTTCCCACCTACGAAAATGGCGCACGCGAACTACTGACAGTGGTTACCCCTCTGCAAAAAAACTTGACTTCCAGCCGTTTTGGGCGCAAGCGCTCTTCGGGTCAGCCTGCTCCTCATAGCGATTGTAAATCCTGGAGGACAACCTCCCAGCACAAAACTACTTTGATAACCAAGACAGTTTGTAGACGACAGTACTTTTTACTTATCCTAGTTTCATCGGCACCGGAAAATTTTGACAGAAGAGATTTAATTCGTCAAACATGGGGTGCCTACGACAACTTTTCCCCTAACTGGAAGACATTCTTTCTTCTCGGGAAGACACGAAATCATGCACAGTCAGATTTGATCATAACAGAAAGTAAGAAATACGGTGACGTAATACATGGAAACTACTACGAACATTACTGGAACCAGAGTTTGAAGATTCAGATGGCCTTTCAATGGGCAGCTAGATATTGTAGCTTCTCGTTTCTTTTAAAGACAGATGATGACGTTTTCGTCAACACCAGACGTTTGATCGATGTCTTGCGTTTGAAATCAACGCCTAAGAAAGGCCTTTATATGGGCAAAGTTAACCACAATCCCATAGTACAACGTGGTAAAGGCAAATGGCGGGTCAGTTACATAGAGTATAGTGGTAAATACTATCCCAACTTCTGTAGTGGTGGTGGCTTTGTTATGTCATATGATGTTATCGAGTGTCTAGTTCCGTTATTTGACGTGGTTAAGCGATACAGAATAGATGATGTTTATGTTGGGATGCTTGCAAAGAAAAGTGGTGTGACACCCGTAGACCATAGTGGCTTCGTTATGCCGTTTCGTAACTACGATGAATGTAATGTTGTCCCGAATACCTTAGTTCAGCACCAGGCTCTTGGTGATTGTTTAACGACACTGTTTAGGGTTCACAGTAAAGGGTGATACAAACCAGATGCCTTAATTCAGTTCTAGACTCTTCCAGGCTCTTACAACAACAACAACAACAATAACTTTTTCCATACTTGTTTACAGTTTTCCAATATATATATATATATATATATATATATATATATATATATCTAAATAGAAGGACAGGAATAAAATTTACAATGTTAGTCTGGAGACTAAAATAACCTGAAAGTTTTCTAGTCAGTCTCTTGTTATCGTAAGGTTTATATAAATATTTAAGAGAAAACAGAACTCTTAAGAGAGGAGATGTGTACATGGTATAATAAAATGAGGAAAATAAATCAGAAAAAGTTTTAAGAATGTTGTTTAGACAGTAAATACATGTACAGTTCAAGACTGTTCCAGGCACTCGGTGGGTTGGAGGCGAGCAAAAACACGGAGACTGAAATAAAAAATAAAAACGAGGGAGACTGTATATTCTAGCTTCCGAACTTGAGAGACCTATATAGGGCAATTTCCCCCCCACCGTCCTACTAAGGATCAGGGCGTTGATAGGAGCCTTAAGCTTATTTTCTCATTTATAGCACTCAATTATTGCGATTCTACAATTTAGAAAAACATCCCAAAATTATGGACGTCCGCTTTCATTGTTTGTGTGCATTCTTTTGCACATTCACACACCACGTTTCCGCATTATACAATTTATGTTTCCACATTCTACATTTCCACATTCTACATTTCCACACTCTTCTTTTTCACACTTTGCATTTCCACACTCCTAATTATCCATACTCCACATTATTACATTCCGAATTTCCACATTCTACATTTCACATTACACATTTTCACATTCCACATTAATGTTTCTACTTGTTTCATCCCCACATTTCGCGTTTCCACATTCCACATTCCACATTCCACATCTCCACATTCTCATTTTACATTCCACGTTTTCTCATATCAAGTTCGGGTTATGACCCAGACTGTGTTCATCTCTCGTTTGTATTTATGAGCATGAAGCACGAAGAATAAATTGTCACGTACTCCCCCAACCCCCCCCCCCCTTGAAACATATATTTATAGCCTCTACCCCTCCTGAAAATAAGGTCAGGATTAGGAATGTTGTTTGGAAGAAACTGATTTTTCCCATCCACATCGTTTTTCCGGGAAATATGAAGTTCCTATAAGATGTTTACGCAAATGGATTTAAGCCCATACCTGGTTAGCCGAGGTCATGTATCAAGTCAATCCAATCCAATTATATATTTACATTATACTGGGCATTTCAAATACAATTTACAGGTAAAGTAAATGAAAATGGTAAGAAGTTAAGAAATATAAAGCCGTAAGGAAATAAAATTTACATGTGAGCGGTGGCCAAAGTAGCTAGAGCTGAGAACTGAAGTCTACTAATTTTAGAGGTAGTAAATATGGTATCGGTTTTTGGGTCAGGTCTGAAATAGAGTATCGAAAATCACATGTATTTTGTTGAATCATCCTTCAACTCTAGCCTGTGTTAAACGCTGTCGAGACCAGTACAAGTTGCACCTATCAACAACACTCCACGTTCTACAAGTGTGGTATATAGCTCGATAAGAGTTGGTGAGTCTATTTTTCCTTTGATAACCACGAAGGTTTTGCACACTGCAAACTGTTCCTGTTTGATAACACTTGCTTGAGACAATTACGAGTGCTTATCAGGTTACTGGTAGGTCTGTAAGCTCTGATCATTAGGCACCATCCCGGTAGTTTTCCTTGCTCTTTCTTGAACTGTTCCCGTCCCACGGCTAGTTCCATCTTGGGCTCAGCCTTGGTAAACGCCCGATGGATTTGTAAAGTACATGTTTTTCCATGCCGTTTTTGCGTGATGGCTTTTCAGAAAACTGTCATCACCACCGCTGCTTAAACTGTCTGCTGCTCTCATGTTCAGAGGTTCTATTTCTGAGCGTGCTGATCACAATTCCAGTTTCCAGCTGTCGTTTTTGAATTTTGTTGATTAAAAATGCATTGAGTGGTTATGATGGCAATGGCATTTCCACCAGATTTGGTTCAAGATTTCGTGGATAGCAGAGAATAAACTTTTCAGTAACATTTTTTTTTTCGTCATTCTACCATCTGAGGAATTTGGATGGGTAAAGGAAACACCCCACAAAGGGGTCATCAGCAATTGCAGTCCATGCATTTGTGATATCGAGACTTGACTATTGTAATTCCTTACTCTTTGGTTCTCCAAAGTGTCAGCTAAGGAAATTGCAATATGTTCAGAAAACACAGACCTGTGTCGCAGGTCTCTAAGTTTCAGCGCATGACCCCGGTGTTGTTTGACCGTCATGGGCTCCCCGTTCATTATCGTGTAGTTTTTAAAATCTTCAGTATTAGTGTTTAAGTCTACAAATGGTATGTCTCCAGCCTATCTATCTATTTTTTTTTTTACATTATTGTACTCACTTAAGATCAATGCGCTCTGTTACTAATATGCATCTAGATCAGCCTACAATCTTAGACAGAATAAAATGGAACAATTATCCCCCATCCCCCCCCCCAAAGCAATGATGAAGGCGCGAAGGAGCAAAAACGCGCCATTTTGGCATCATTGAAATGGGGGGAGGGGTGGTCCAGATGTTCCATGCATTTTGTCCAAGATTGTAGTGCATTTACGACTTACGGAGATAAAGCGTTAACGTTCTCTGTATTTGCCCCAAGACTTTGGAATATTTTACCCTTATTAGCTTTGCGCAGATTAAATGCGATTGATAGTTTTAAGAGGGCCCTTAAGACCTATCTTTTTACAGAATTTGTGAATAGTCGTTCTTTGTTTTGAAAGTATGATCATTTTTAGTTATTTTTAGTTATTACTGTTTTATTATTTTTACTTTGGTTATTTTTAATTGTTTGTATATTTTTTTTTCTAAGACTCATACCACCATGCATTTGATCTCTTGTTTATTCCAAATCAACGCAACGTACATATCATATTTAGACGAGAAAGTAGACTAATAAGTCTGAGCTATTTCAAGATCTTGTATGTCACTTTTGACATGAAGGCGTTTATTACGTGTAGGGGCGCTTGACGGGAGGGGCGCTTGTTTGAAGCAGGGGAGGGGTAAAGTCTGCATACGAACCAAGCGGCCCATCAGCGGAGCTTATCCCGGTTTCTGTAGCTTGAAGCGACAAGGAGTATTACTACTCCCCCCTGGATGGGATGCTAGTCCATCACAGGGTTACACCAAGCATTAAATTCGCTGGTACTCATTTATACACCTGGTTAGAGAGAGGCACAGTGACGGTAGAGTGTCTCGCCTAAGAACACAACGCAATGTTCCAGGCCAGGGCTCGAACCCGGACCGCTCGATCCAAAGACGAGCGTACCGCGCCTCACAGCTTGTTTAATTAAGGAGAGCGCTAAAATAAATTCATTACGGGTCTATATATAGCCCGTGCTTTGATTGGTTGTGTAGTCGTTTTACGTGAGGTTATGTCAACGCAGATTGCATCTTTGTCACGTCAGTTGCTTTTATTCATGTTATAAAAGAATATACGAACAATGGCCAGTTCCTGTTTACATTACGGACTGCTGACCACACTCGGGAGAGTTTGGGAGAATTTGTATTGGACAGAAGAGTATTAAATTCTCACAGGCGAACCCTTTCTTGTTTGCGCAGACGTGGCATTTTTCACGTTCAATTGTGGTAACACATACTTAAAGTTTAATTTAATTGCATATGAATTTTCAGGTGGACTTCTACTTAAGAGACATTTATATGCCAAACTTTAATGTAAACTTTGATGGCGGATCCTTGTGACTGCGAATCAATTTCTCAGAACTATTAATATTGGTCAACAACTACAGGGAGTTGATACATCGAGTCAATGGCACCACTTGGATTCAACCAATCAAATTGCCTTTCAGTAGACCATTCAAATTCTAAATAAATAAAACCCATTACGGTTCTATAATGAACCATTCCACGGCTGATTTAAGGAGGAACATCTGGTCTTCTGAGCTTGTACAGGTATGAGTGGCTTATGCTGACTAGTAGATGATGAATGCAGCCAACGCTTTGTTAATTGCAGCCATTCCTCCATGTCTACTTTTCTTACCAATCCGCGATAAAACTGGTCAGTCTGTTTAGCCCAAAATATACACTGTACTTGATATTTTGTCGCAAATGACTGAATGCTCAGAAACGCCCACACAATCCTGGGTCTCGGAGGATATGATCGGGGGGGGGAGTACTCCCTTGTATGGCCTATATAGGTATGTGTGACTCGCAAGGGTATGGTTTTTCAGCGGTTCTGGTCTGAAAAAGGGCATAGATTCTGACCATTTTGGTCTGAAATAGGCTTAGCATTGGGTATTCTCAGTTTCAAGGAACTATTGTTTCCTCATTAACGTTGGGAAATTTGCAGCCCTTCTCAAATGTTTGCAGCCCTTACTCAAATGGAAGGCATTCATGGCTAGCAGCGGTCATATTTTAGAACTGTGTACTAGCGTTAGATGTCTGAAATGGGGCATTGATTGTTCGCTGAAAAGGTCTGAAAAAGAGTACAGGTTTCAAGGTTTGGGCCGCAAAACCCAACAAAAAATTTGGGGCTACCCCCCCCCCCGGAATTTTGAGACAGACGTTCAACATTAGATCAAAATATGAAACTCCTACTTTGAAAAGAAATTAACCCTTAGCTTTCGCCACAAGTCACACCACAATTTCGTAAACGTGTTAACACGATCGAATTACATTTTACAGCCATCACAGCACAGTTTCCAGGCTGTGTTGATATATTTCAATGGGGGAAGATTTGCATATGTGTACAAAGTTGCTGAAATAACTGCAAGCTAAGTTCTTTTACACCGCAATTAACTTTGCGCCGAATGAACACAGCCGTAATATTGTTATCATCGATGTATCGGAAGTCGACTGACGTGGCAAAAAATTCGAACTCGTTTAGCACAAATTTCTCAGGGTAGAAAAGAGAACAATAAAGGGTGCGACATCAAGAAAACACAGTGAAGATTTAAATAACTGTTGTTTTTCAGTTGAGTGCATCTAATTGGTACGTGAGAATATGCGTATCCAAAAATAAGCTCTGCAATGTTGGGTGTCAAACACAATAAACTGAGGTCAGTCACTGTCATTTGCGAGCCTGTAAATAGTTTGGAGCACAAAAGGAATAAAACCCCAGAGTATAAATTTGGGTTAATTCTGCTTATTCTTTAGTCATAACTTGAAACGAGAAACGAGTTAAGGAAACATTTCGGGCATGCTTCTTCTTCAGTGCTTATTCAACGTGACTACGCACTCGTGGGGTGTAAGAGGAGTTGGTGGGGAGATAGGGTACCCGACAAAGTTTTATACGGGGAGCTACGTCCTCAAGTCCAACCCTTAACATCAGTTATAAACCATTTTTGACAGAAAAGATAACCCTTTCATATATCTTCCATGGAAAATGGTACTTCTTTCACATACCCGCACTAAGTGCGGAACATCCCTTTTCCAAAAGCTTGACTAGCCCTTCATGATAATTACTGGGGCACTCAGCCGTTAGCTGCAATTGTTCGAGATGTTTTGAAAGAGCGTTTGGAATAACTAAATGGTAGTTTTCCGTACTCTTGTCTACACTCCAGTTCGTGAAGTGCCTACACCCTTTCCTTTGTACACCTCCAGCCATAAAAAGGTACTTCTTTCTAGCGGAACTGCTTATTCACCAAAAGTAGCAAATTCGATATTTTAATAATTGCCTCTTAGCTTAACGATAGTTAATTATGCATATCTTGGCCCTCTGCTGTCTACTAAACCTAAAGGAAAACAATATAGCTATAGAATTTGACTTTGTTTTTAGCATTGTTTGACCCCCAACAGAAATACCCAATTGAGCAGATCGAAGAAAACCTGGCAGGCAAACGGTCTAGTGGCTAATTCACAAAGTCTTTGTATAATCGGCCCACGATAGTCCAACCATGCGTATCTGCTTTGCAAACACGACCACGAAGGGGTCGAATAAACTCCAGATCATGATGTTCTCGATGACTGATGAGGCAATCTTAATCTCTGGTTGCTAGCATGTGATCTGGTTCTAGAATTCCAAACGTGCCCAAGATAATTTACAGTTGGTAATAAGATTCTCTACCTTGCTCTCGGATACCTCTGCGCCTGCCGTCGCTGCAGTCAGACAGAGAAATTAAACGATGTACCAGGCAAGATGGAAGTTGAAAAAGCTTAATAACTTATATGTGGAAGTCGAATAAGACAAAATTTGTCAGTGAGTTGCCTTATGTTATTATTCAGCCTCCATAATGGTTTTTTTTTTTTTCGACAAATGAGCCTTATGTCTTTCTTTCACAATATATAATCCACAGTTTGACAAATTACAATGGGTACTTGAAAAAGTGGGTCAAAGGTTAGTTTGGCTTAATGGGACAAGTCACGTTTTAGTACCTCAAGAAAAATGGATCACTCGGAATTTTTCCTGTATAGCTATCCGACAAAATTTTTCGACGATCAAAATAAGCCAATCACAGCGTGAGATTGACGCCTGACTTTAGACATTGTGAATGTTGATAAAACGTCGTAGAAACGAATTAGAAAGCAGTTATCTGAACAGCTTTCTTTACAACCAAGAGAAAACAACGCTTTATTTTCTTTCTTCACGCAAATAAATACTGAAAATGGAAAATTACAAAGCCAAAGGGCAACAAAAAGAAACATAGCTCAGTTGTAGCGTGACAAGAGGAGAGCCCGTCAAACAACAGGCCCTAATGGGCTACTTTCGATATCTTAAAATTCAGCTTGCATTGATAGCGAGGCCCAGATCGAGGCACAAACAAGATTAACGAATAAACATGATCATTCAGTTTGTTTGACTCGCGTAAATAAATCACTTACTGTCGTAGAAACATCTGCTCTGTTTACCTGCAGAAACGTCTGCCCTCACCATGCATGGCCGCGTTTCATATACCCTTAATAGGAAAAAGATTTTAATCAGCTTACCGTTAAAAAAATTTAATCTCCCATCTGCCTTATCTGCTATTACACTAAAGTGAGAATATTTTTATTAGTTGCAGAGAATAAGAGCTGAGATAAGTTTTCTATTTTCGTTTCGGATTGATTAGTAATCTAAGGCAATTTTTGCATACCGTCGCATTCAGTGGAGCCGTATGAAGAGACTGACAAAATATTGGATGGATGTTTTTTTTTTCTTCGCGCATGCAATCCTAGTAGCTATTGTCATTGCTAAAGAGATGGCAAGATTTGCATGTCACCCGTGTTGAAAAATATCTTGACTTATTTTTCATTAGCGGCTAGCGGCTAATGGCTTTCCATAATCACTGATTTCGTCCCCTTTATAAGGTGGCAAACTTGCCCGTAAAGTTTTCTAAATTATACGAACAATAGAATTATATAATACTCTTGTTTATAGTCATTTTTTATGTTTAGAAAACTAGACGACAAGATGAGTTCTGAGGTAAGACAGTCTGTCCTGTTACCAAACAATTTGTGTTTTACTTATTCATTTCATCAGTTTATGCACAGGCTAGAGGTAAAATAACTGTTCCCCTGATCATAAATTTGTCTATTCGTATACA